ATAAACAATGAAACAGAAAAACAGCATAAAGGAATCCTGTGATGCTAATCAATTTTTGTTTGTCTCCTCAGTAATCTTAAGCATGAATAATAACTTAGATATGAAGTGGAATTAAAGAAAGACAAGCCTGAGACAAATTCTAATAACCTTGTGGCTTCTAGATTAACTGAGACCATTGTAACTAGAGTATATGTAACTTATCTTTTGAATAAAAGGTGATATGCAGCAGTTGAATTGAAATTGACTTGTGCAGTGCTTTTGGGTTTACAATAACATGCAAAACCAAAAGCAGAAAAGAAACTTTGCTTGGTTGCTTTTTTTTTTTTTTTCTTTTCCTGAAATGTATTTTACAGATAGTGAAAGTACATTAGAATGATTTGGGGTCACACTTCTGATATTTTGTGGTGTCTTTCCCACAGGCTTTTAGAGGTCCGTGGACGGCTTTATGAACTCTTGACACATTGCATTCCTCCTGAGATTATAATGAAGGTAATTCAGCTATCTAACTCCTAAAGTGTTGTAAATATTAATGCTATGACAGTCCCAGCTGGAGTTAAAAAACAAACAAACAAACAAAAATAACACCGAAACATCACAAATTATCAAAATATTGATGGAAAGCTGTGTCCTTTCCAGATGGAATCACCATCCCTGGAGGTGTTGAAAGAACTAGTAGACGTGGCACTTCATGATATGGATTAGTGGGCATGGTGCTATTTGGTCAAAGGCTGTACTTCATCATTTTGGTTGTCTTTTACAGCCTTAATGACCATATGATTCTGTAGGCTTGATATGCTTTCATGTCAAATCAAATATGATTTTCTTTTTTAAAAGTTTTGTTGTTAGAAATTCAGTTTTTGCTATGTCCTATTGGAGAGAGATGCTGAAGGATGCTACAGCACCAGGCCTTTTCAAAGTCATACTGAGAGGAAAAAAGCAAGTGGGATGTGTTTGTTCTTATTTTTAGCATGATGAAAGGATGCTGAAGACATCTAGAGCAGAACAAACATTAAAGATATAGTCTTTGCAGCTTAACCTAGGTGGACTCTGCCTTCAGATATAATTTTTTTCACATTGACTGATTTCTGTTTTCTGACATTTTTGGTAGTTAGAGGTTTCTTTAACCTTCATTTCTTATGGTAGGTTAGTGGATCCTGCATTGCTGTGTTGGGGAGGCAAAAGGTGTATATTCTCTACCCTCTCCTTCTTCATAAACTTGAAATGGTCTAGAGATACTTCTGACTTAATCCTGACTGTTTTAATACAGATGGATTTGCAATGATTTTATTGTTGAGATCTAAAATAATGCGTTTTGGGGTTTTGTAATGACCAAAGTACTGTGGTCAAGTTGTATTGTGTGTCTGCACATAAATATGTGCATAAATATAAACAGAAATTCTAAATAAGCCCTTTTCTTGTGTGTTTTTTTTTTTTGTTTGTTTGTTTGTTTTTTAATAAATACTGTTTCTTTTTGTGCTCGATGCTCTCAAGATAGAAGTAAGTGATTTTAATACACTTGCTGTGTTGGTAAGGATTCTCCCCAGGGCCATGTGCCTCCATGCAGTAGAGGTTACAGTATTTGGAGATGAGATTAATTTATTTTCTTTATTAAACCATAAATAGTTCCAGTAAATGATTCTTGAATGTCTCTTCTATTGGATTAATGAGTGAGCTATTGCTCATAGCATGGATATTTTCAGAGAAACAAGGTTATCCTCTTAACAAAAAATTCCTAATTTTTCAAATACTATCCTGTTTCTTTTCCATTTTAGGGCCTCCTAACAGAACTTCTAAATAACTGTGATGGACAACTGAAAGGAGAAGTTGCACAGATGGCGGCCTTCTATGAACACCGCCTGCAACTGGGCAGCAAAGCCATTTATCATCTGGAAGCATTTGTTGCAAAGTTTATGGCCATTTACAAGAAGTTCATGGAGGACGGGCTGGATGACATGATGTTCTAACAACCCAAATTTGTACACAGAATGTTGTCAAGATACCAATAATTTTGCAAGTGCCTACTTGCTGGTGCTTGATTATATGTGGGTCTAGTTCTAAGTGAAATATTTTTATTTTGCTACTTAATAAAGCAATGTTTGCTCAGCTTTAGAAACCAGATGGAGTGTTTGACAGCCACAAATCCATCTTTAGATCCATACTAAATACTTTGGCCTTTCAAAGAATAATACGTTGCCTTGGAAAATGTATAAGATCATAGTTGCTTTGCAGTATTTGTAAGCTGACATTAAGAAGAGAGAACACAGATGCTGCGTGCTTGGGGTTTTTTTTGTTGATCACAGATGGGCAGGGCTGTAAGAAAAAAAAAAAGCTTTTTCCATGTTGTGGTAAGTTCCAGCTTGAACATGTGTTTTCTGCCTGCTGATCTATACATCTTACTGTTTGTCTGGTTTTTTTTGGT